TGATGTTAAATATTTCCTAGTATTTTGTACTGGAGATTAATTAAAGTTCACATAGCTAGGCAATAAGCGATTTTAGTGAAGAGTAAACATAAGAAAAATTGCTATTAGTTGAGTGATGTTCAGAATAAATAATTTAAACCCATAAGTCTTTTGGGGGCTAGTTGAGGAATAATACAGCTTTAAACACTACTATTAAAATGTTAAAATCCACTCTTTATCTAGTCATTATGTATAAAAGTGGAGCATATTTTGCAGTCACTGTTCAACCGATATTAATATTGACAACTGAATTTGAGCTATCAATATATTGTGCAAGTAATAAAGCTATTATACCCAAAAATTATGAAAATGGCGATGAGGTTTGAAAATATAATGGTCAAATTAAATTGACTCATTTATAATATACCAATGGAACAAAGTGTACACAAAAGAAAAAAATTATTTCAATGAATCATTTGTGATTTAAACTTTATTTTTTGCAAAATAGAGTATTTAGAAGCAAGCGTTTTATTTTGTCAGTTTTCTCAAATAACATCAAATAGGTCGCAAGCGCGTTTTTTGGGGTTTTACCGTCGATTTTACAATGAGGGCGTTAATACTAATCGGGGGTTTCGGAACGCGGTTAAGGCCACTTACTCTAAGTGTGCTTAAACCACTGATCGAGTTTTGTAACAGACCTATGTTAATGCATCAAATTGAGGCACTGGCTCATGTATGTTATTAATTGTAAAATCATTTGTAGGTCGGAATTAAAACAATTATACTTGCTATTAACGAAGAAGCCGCTTGCTTGGAAAGTGAAATTCGAAGAATGTGCAAGATGGTTACGAAAAGATTAAACGTTAATGTTATATTTTCTTATGAATCTGATCACCTTGGAACTGCTGGTCCTTTGGCTAATGCTGCGCATTTACTAAACGATTCTGAAGAACCTTTTTTTGTTCTCAATAGCGACATCGTTTGTAAATATCCCTTCGAGAAACTAATGGAATTCCACAAGTCTCATGGTCGCGAAGGCACGATGGCAGTACGTTTGTTTTCATAATTGATTTCAAGGTTACCAAAGTGAAAGAGCCAGGACGATTCGGTGCTGTAGTATTTAATGATCAATCGGGTGCTGTCCAAAGATTTGTTGAAAAATCTCCTGATTTCATTGCCAATAAGGTTAATGCCGGTCTTTATGTATTTAATCCTTCTATCCTCAAAAGGATCGAGGTGTGTTTATGTGTTTTTTTTAACGATTTCTAGTGTAAACCTATGTCACTTGAAGTGGATATATTCCCCAGAATGGTTGATGATGGTGAATTATATTGCATTGAAATTGAAGGCAATTAATTTTATTCATTTCATTTTTTAAACTTATACAGGAATTTGGATGGATATTGGTCGGCCTGAGGATTTCCTTTTAGGTACTCATATGTATCTAGAGTATTTGAGAGTTAACGGAAATCTTGAGCACCGTGACCCTCCCGAGTTCCTTGGAAATGTTCTCATAGTAAGTATTTATTGCCCTAATCAAAACGGATTTACAGCATCCCTCCGTTAAAATTGGATCGGAATGCGTGATAGGCCCGGACGTAACTCTTGGACCTGGTGTTTGTATAGAAGACGGAGTTCGGATACAAGACTCAGCAATTCTTAGTGGAGCGATTATTCGATCCCATTCCTGGTTAGATGGGAGCATTGTTGGCTGGAATTCGGATGTGGGACGTTGGGTGTGTCAGGGAATTTTTTTAAATTCATGTTTTTCCTCTTTTAAATTTGTTTTAAGATGGATATAATCGTAAGTTGTGTATAAAAAGATGAAATTTATATCACATTATTTACATAAAATTATTAATATTTTCTGGGATTTTATATTTTGGTTATTCTTCCAGAAGACTAAGTTAAATATTTGTGATTAATTGAGCTTGAATTGTACTTGATTACAATTTTTTATGGAGCGATTTTATGGATGATTAGTCTCTTTACATCTACGCCACAATTAAGTAGATTAAGCACTTTGAATTATCAAGATATTTCTGCGGGTTTGTAAAAGACTTCATTATTTATCGAACATTTCAAATCAAATGTTCCATGCATTTTGGTGACTTACTTCTATTACTTATTTGGAAAAAAACAAATGTTCTTTGCTAATGATCGATTTTTTATAAATTCCTTCCAGCCTAGCATTAAATAATAAAGAATTTTATTCCTATATCTAAAGAAACTGACTTGTTAAGTGTTGTCAAAGCACCAAATAACAGCAAATTATGGAAATATCTGTTATAATATGTTTCACCCCTTTAGGTTGTAATTGGAGGTATTTTAAAACTTTTAGTTTTTTGACTTTTGAGAGTGTTTTGAGGGCCATTGGAAACAATAGCTCCGGAAGAAGATTTTCATTCGTGTATACTCTGCGCTATTTGTATTTCTCTAATCGTCTCTATATCTCGGTAGAAGTAGCTGTAGTAGAAGCCTAACCATTTTTATTCAAGTTTGAGGAGTTGATGCATAAATCGATATGTTAAATTTCTAGAAACTGTTTATATCAAATTATACCCGGTATTGACTCGGAGGTCTCCACTAAAAGACATGGAGCAGAAGGTGAGAGTTGTAAGAGTCTGTGTAACGCATTGTTTAGGCCATGTTTTGAATAAGAATGTGAGATTCGGGCAAAGTCCACAATAGAGAGATTGGACTGTGGAAGGGAGGGGAGAAAAGCAGAATAGAGTTGGGACGTAATTTGTCTTTCAATTCGTGGAGCGTCCTGATTTAACCTAATGCCCATAATTTGTGGTGCTGACTTAACATACTAATATTTGAGCTAATTTTCTTTCAGACTGGTCCTATTTAGGTGTCAAAAAATAATTTATCCACTTTCCCTACTTCTGAAATGGGTAATTGTGTGATTAATGATAGTAAGTGGATGATATATTTTTGTGCTCATGTATTTTGAAATGGAAAGTAGAACGGATTTTAGGAATTGTTATTTGATGATTCCCATATGCGAAAAGCTCGCATCAACTTTATATTCATCTCTCTTATGCATGAATCATTTTAAGCACGTGAAGCCTCCAATTAATGTGATCGGTTAGTAGGTCCAATGATAAATGGAACAGAGGTCATGGAGTCAAGTTATCGAGAATCTTATTTAATTCGAATTCTGAATGCATGGAATTCTCCACTTTCTCCTAAACAGTGCAGGTCTCTATGCAATATCTCGATGTCCATATTTGTCCTACTTGAATGTCAAATTCCATGGTGGTTGCATGATTTCATAGCTTAACGGTCCATTGATTTAATGGAAGTTGTTGGCGATACAACTAGTTTCGATTTCTTTTCAGTGGTAGTAGCTCCTTCTCGAGCTCATTCAAAGTAATCTCGAATGCATCAACCATTAACCTACTATAAATTCTCATTCGTTTATTGATCCAAACTGGTTGTCAAGTAAGCCGAAAACCGTACAGTATGGATGGTTTGTACCATAGTACATAGGATTTTCGTAATGAAAAAGTCCTAGTATACCTCTCTAAGTGCTTTTAAATGAATCTAACCTTAATGAGATTGAATTTGATCAAATTTCAGTCAAAGCTGGGGATTGTTATTTGACTTTGTAAACACTAACGTAGGAAGCAGAATATCTCATATTTCGAACGTATTTAAAGCATCGATCAATGATCAAATTAGCACTGAAACGAGATCACCTCCTACAAGCGCCACAACAAGTAGGGAGAACTTCTCCATTCCCATATGCTCTGGAATAGGGTCTAAAGTATTCTATTTAATGTGTCCAGTGCATTCACTTGCCATACCCTAATTTTAACTTCAAAGGGACACTTTCAACGAATTCTCGTCTTGAAGTTTATTTTCTACAATTTTTTGCATTGAATTACTTAGGCATACTGCCTGTGTGTCACTAACAAAGTATCTTATACGTTCAACTGCAAAGTCACAGGTGCTAGGGTCAACGCCCATTCAATTAATTCTTTTGAATGCGATTTTCTTATCAGGGTTGAACCCCCCCCCCCCCCAATCGATATCGCTCCTTCTCCTCAGGATGAGTGGTGGAGGGTGTTTGGGAAGGTGTTGGTTAAATATATTGCCCATTAGAATCATAAAACGCACAATAAAGCACCTTACTTCATTTTCATCTCGTAAGATTTAAATTCATAAATTGGCCCACATAATTTTGTTCCATAAAATGCTAATTGTTGTGTTTCGAGGGCTTCAGAATGTTAATTCCTGAGGGAAAATAAATCGCTTAATTTTTGTGTATCTTTGCGAGTTCACGTACCCATTTGATTATGAATTTGCTACTGAACTAACGACTAAGTAGCGAGTGTCTTAAAATTAACAATCGGTGGAAATTCGATGTGGATCTTTTAATTGCATTGGGATTGATTTCTCCTCGTAATTATTAAAGAGAAAAAGAGTAAATCTGAAAAGTGTGATTGACAGGTTAAAACTACTTAATTTATGTTACATTGCGTAGTTTCGTTGTTGTTGCCGGTGCCAAAGTTAAAAACTACAAGCATCCGTTAATCTGAAATATCGAAATTGTTTTATATCAAATGGCAGGCGTCTTGATGGTTATCATTGGTCGAGAGGGGGGGGGGGAACAGAAGAGTGTTTCAAAGATGTAAAAGAGACAGACACAAAGGTAGAAAAAAGGTGAGGTGAGTACGGTGAAAGTAGTCCAATTTGACATACAGTGGGGTGATGGTAGTTTGAAGCGAGAAGTCAACTGCCAGTTAATAGACTTTGTTTGCCTATGAGTGAACGTTTCCCAGGGTGCACCACGTGGAGGTTAGTTTATCGCACACCCTAATATCGAAATTGTTCCGATGAAGTGTAAAGGGTAAATACTGTGTGCAATTTCATAAGATTCTTTGTCTTTTATATTTCATATTATTGCAGAGGAGGAGAGAGAGAGATTCTAGGAAGATAATTTTTTCTCCTAAAGGAAGACACAATCAACTAATATTTTATATTTATAAATCGGTATTAACCTGTGGATTTCAATTAGACCCAACGTAGTATTGGATCAAATAAGGTGATTCGTCTACTGAAGTGCCTGTAATTTAAATACAACCTCGCCTACGTTGAGAGGTATGCTGATCTTCCTAAAAGCTTGAGCTGCCTAATTATATCGAGACGACACTTTAATTCTACTTGGACTTGCTTGTAAAGCCACTTCAAACGGGGATTAATTCTCCCCTCGCTGCACTATGATGAGAAAGTCTTAAACTCAGTCCGAATTTTAATGCTGCTAATTTCATATTATTACCACGAATATTTTAGACATTTGAGAGAATAATGAATGCTTTATACAATTTCTAGACGCGTTTGGAAAATGGAACAGTTCTGGGCGAGCGCGTTCGAGTGAATGATGAAGTCTACCTCAACGGAGTCCTGGTGCTTCCTCACAACCTTGTAACCACCTCAGTTCATGAACCATCAGTCATTCTATAGCCACCGTTTTTTCGATGACCTAACAAATCACGATATTCTTGTGCTCACCTTCTTCTCCTTACTGATTGGTATGCTCTTGTAAATAATGAGTACTGTGTATGCGCCATGGCTTGAACTATTCCCCTCCTAAAACTGCTTCATGCTTTAATCTACGCTGACTTCAAGTTCATGATTGCGAAAGCTACTATCTGGGCTCTTTAGCCTGTATTTTTTAAACTGATAAGACTTTCCTGGAAATGACATTTTAGTGCAATTTTGAATTCCCTGGCTAAACTCTTGGCTTGTGTTGCAACATGCAGACTAAGCGGTTGCAGAATTCATAATTTTGTATTTTTAAAAATAAATTCGCCAGCAAATAAACCTTTTTGACCATAAAGTCACTAATATCTTTTAAAAGCATCCAAGCTTAGTTGCTATAGCCGACAGATCTCATTTAACGGCTAGCGAGTTGAAGTTGTGAAAATCCGTGGAATCCCAATAATTGTCACACATGGATATCCGGGTCAGTAGTAAACACCCGGAGAAGCCAACGACGAGCAAACAAGACTGGCGTCCTGTCTGCGAAAATGAAAACAATTCGTTTACACTTAAATGGAGAAGGGAAGGGAGCTATCCCGGTGGCCTTAAACAGTCCTACTAATACAAATAAACCAGATCATGATGTCCCTCCCCACATAACATCTCATTCCACTGCAGCAGCTGACAGAATCGTTTTCTCTCCAAAATCTAATTAAAATTCAGTAATTTTGTGCACAAAGGTGCCTCGATGGTGCGGCAGTGCCCAACAAGGTAACAAATAAATCAGCTATTTTTTATTTCCTTGAAATAGAAAGAGGAAAGACTGTTGAGTTACAAGCTGCATTCATTCCTAATACCGAATATAAACTGCTTTAGAAGTACTCAACAGGCAGCCATATTAGGTGTTTACAACCACATACCGGCGGTGAGACATCGCTTCATATTATGAGCGAGCATTAAGAGAGTCGCTATTCACTATAATAAATCGCATGCATTTTTTCCAAGTAAAAAAGGTCAGACTAATTGCATTCGGTACATACAATGTGTGGGGGTGGGTGGGTGGGTGGACTAGACAGGAATAGACACAAAAGGAGGAGGAGGAAAAGGGCCATCATTTTACATTCGCCGGATTCTGTCAATTGGTATATCCAAGTTAAATGCTTCATTGTCGTATTCTACACTGGGAGATCTGAAATAGGCATAGAAACGTGAAATTGTGGAATTAATGTTGAACAAAAAGGCAAATTAAAATAAATGCCTGAGCATGGCTTACCTATTTACCACTATTTCGATCAGAATTCCTATGAGCCTCATTGGATTGATCTTAATGGGAAAAAACGATTAGAAGGTAAACCGAAAGTGACATAACTTCGCTTATACTAAGATCGGATTGAGATGAGAATAAATCGTCAGTCTGTGTAAGCACATAATTGGGAGTAGGGCCGAGGTAGTAACCTCGCTAACTAATAAAGAACCCCCTTTCAGTACGCGAAATAAAGAGAATTTTGAACTTCAGAAAAAGATTAACCACAAGGTCGTATGCGGCTTGATCACCGCGACAAGAAGAACGCCTCCTCATACATCTACAACTAATTACTTTCTACATCCTCATTTTTCCGACCATTACTAGCAACTTACTTAGATTACGCGTCTTAAAATATATATATATATATATATCATCAAACTGTCAATTGTCAAGATAATAGTCGCAGTGTGGGGACCGAGAAATAAGTAGAAGTTCGGCGATTAACTTTTACAAGCGTCCAGAATGAAACAAGCTCTCTCTCACCTAGTTATTCAAATGGCAGACTCAGATAATTATCGAATTCGCTGTTTTTCATTCGTTTTTCCGACTTGATAAAAAACTGGCATGTGGATCAGAAACCAGTTTATTTGGGTGAATGATAAGTATCATGTTGTCAAGGGTGTCAAGAACTGTCAGACCAAATATTCAATGCCATAGCATTTGAGATCTCGTGAGTACTAGTAACTTAAAGATATATACGCCGGAAGCAGAAAAGTTTGCTCACCTCCATTTTTATAGGGATTCACAAATGAAAAAAATGCCGTAATCACACACCGAATGTAGAAAGTCTGAATAATGCAAAACTAGTTATATGATTAGAATAGGGGGTGTGAGATAGACATACCACCACGTGGTGCGCCCTGACAAACGTATACTCAAACGGCAAAAAGTCTATTAACAGGCAGTTGGCTTCTGACTTCAAACTACCATGACCCCACTTTATGTTATAGTCGACCACTTCTACAGTACTCACCTTACCCTACTCTCAATCATTGTGTCTGTCTATTTTACATCTGCAAATCACTCTTCCGTCCCCATCTTGAATTTTTCTCACTATGATGTTTCTCCCCTCTGTGAAGCTCGAAGTCAGCTAAGGGCTAATGATAACTATAATAACGCCTGCCATTTGAAATAAATAAATAAATGATTGGAATAGGGAGAAATCGACCGGAATAAATTCTTGAATACCTCGACTTTAACTAATAAGCAGCCAGGCATTAATAAAATAAAACACGTCGAACATAACTAGGCAAAGGCTAACCCAAGTGGATTCACTGATGCAACCGAATCAAATCCTGGAGAGAAAAAATGCTGTCACATCGTGA